GATGTTATGTTATCGAAGCGGCACGACCAGCAACTTTTTGAACATTGTTCTACAGGCTGACGCTTTGCGCAGCAAGATTGGTTATGCAAGCTACATCCTCAGACCGATGCTCCTGAAGAAAAGATTTGAAAACGTAAGAAAAACAACCCAGAAATGTTCAAATTAATCACAAAAATATTTCTCCCACTTTGAATTAATTTGCAAATAGCGAAATCCATTATCCAATCAAACAACGCCGTACACATCTTATATCAATATGTATATATTTTTTTATCAAGTTGAAAGTGGACAAGAAATCGTTCTTCAAGAACAACGTCAACGTGGACCGATGGGTTCGTAAACGCCTCACCAAGAAGCTGCGCAAAATCGTTGATAAAGAAAAGTAAGTGAGGATTTGTTGAGTGTATAAGTTATAAAACTTATGTGTATTTTGATAGTACGTCATTGTTCTTTTTCAGATGGCCCATGTTTCCCCAGACTATCAACGCAATGTACCAGTTTTACGAGAACGAAATAGGTAAAAAAATTTAATTTTTAATTTTCTCAATTCGGGATTTATAGGTACGAGTGAAAAAAGCCCCGTCCAATTTGAATGCTTTCAAAACATCATGAGTATCTATAAATTCTGTATTGACGAGAAGATTGTGCGATTTTTTGGTTTATAATACGATCAACAAAATTGAGCAACTCAATTGGGACTTTACAGAATACAATTTGGGATTTAATTGTACTCCTCTTGTCCAATCAGAATCGAGCAATTTTGTTGAGTGTATAATAAAAGCAAAAATCTCCTCTTCAACTATTTCTACACGCCCTTTCTCTTTATCATAATCTCATTTTTCACCTTGCCTGTTTTTCAGTTATTCCAGCGGGGATTCTACAAGCACCTTTTTTCTACACAGGAGAAGTACCAAAGTAAGTAGGAGTTCGAATTTTTGCTGAGAAAAAGGCGCGTCATCTAGTGGTATAGGTTGTCGTTAATAGAGACCTTCAGCACGACGTTCTTGTTAGCTCTGCAAACCTCTATTATGTCATGCCTTACTGGGGTAGAGACCAAGGAAAATTAACTTGTAGTGTGAATGGAATGTGTTTTAGATCTTTGAGTTATGGTGCTATTGGTTCTATTATTGGTCACGAGATGACGCATGGCTTCGACAATACAGGTAAGAATGGCGGCCGCTATTTCAAATAAGTCCAAATAGACCAGTTTCGAATTCCAAATTACCGCTGTGTTCCTTGATTACAGACTCATTTGCACAGGGTTAGCCTCGTATCAGTGTTTAAATATTCACGAATACCAACGGTAAAGTAAAGAATGCACAACTTCAACAATACAAACACTTTGAAACTCAACGGACCTTGACTGGAACACGTGAATATTCTGCACAAACTCGAGGCTAACCCTGTGCAAATGAGTCTGTAATCAAGAAACACAGCGGTAATTTGGAATTCGAAACGAGTCTATTATCAACTGAGTAAAAATAATAACATGGCCCGGTTGCACGAAGGGTGGATAGCGCTATACGGCGCAGGATAAATCCTTATTCAGTGGGTAAATGTTTGGATAACGGCATCGACTTATCCACTGGATAAGGATTTATCTAACGGATAGCGCTATCCAGGCTTCGTACAATCGGGCCCAGCACTAGAAAGGGCACCATTACTTTAGTAACCCTACAACGATTCATTATGTATGGTGCTACAATATCAGCCGAGAAAACTGAAGTCGAAAATTGACAAATTTACATTACCGAATCGCTATAATTTTTGATTGCTCTTGGTTTTGAGTTATTAAGTTATTAATCATTAGGTAGAAAATTTGACAAAAATGGCGACATAGTAAAGGAATGGTGGAGCAAATCAGCATTACAGGATTTCAACGAGAAAGCCAAGTGCATCGAAGAACAGTACTCCAAGTATAAGATACAGGGCAAATACCCGGTATGTATAGTTATACTGAGGGATGTAACCCCGGGGAGGAGAGGGATGGGGGGGGGGGGGGKCCCCSCKGGGTTTMAGACCTTCAAACCTTCAATTTTTTATCAAATACCCTGAAGTAACCTATATGGGTTCATCGAAGTCAGGACCCGGGGAACTAGCAAATTGAATTGGACCACATTTATGTTGGTTTTGCGGAGAGAGGGGAACCGGAGAGCCCGAATAAAAACCCTTGGATCAATTGAGAGATCTAATAAACTACACTCATGTGTGACGCTGAGTTCAGGGGTGGTTACCATTTAACTAATTCGTTCGGTTGGAAATTCTTTTGCTAATGGTAAGAAAAGAGCAGGAAATTTTGGTACACGCGTCTACCGGAAGAACCAAAAAGAGCGGGAAACTTTTGTATACGCGTCTACCGAAAGAACCGAAAAGAGCGGGAAAAGTGGATTGTCTCAATCGGTATGTAGATCAAATTTTCCGAAACTTTGCGGAATTTCCGGTTTTTCCTAGTAAATGGTAAGCACCCCAGGAATCGAGCCCAAGGCCTCAGAGGTGCACTACTGTTATGCGACGCACCCTTGATTCCAAGCAAAGGAAATGCGCCCTGCAAAACTCTTCTCACAAGGTCGATGCAAGCAAGTTGAAGCTAGTTGAAGTGGCTTTATATATAAGCTCTTATTTTGCGATATCATATTCAAGCTAATATCAATCATTCTTCGTCTAATCAATCTAGTTGAGTGGAATCGTGACATTAGGGGAAAACATAGCCGACAATGGAGGAACCAAACTCTCATATCACGTGAGTTGCGCATTCTCACCAATCTTCTCATTTTTTCGTTCCCTTTTCTACACTTTTTTCCTTTTTACTGTGTTTTTTTAACCTTATTCTCCAACACCCTGACATCGTAGGCTTATCACAAGTGGCTGAAGGAAAATGGCGGACAGGAGCCTGTGTTACCAGGCCTTAAATACAACAACGAGCAACTGTTTTTTATTGGATACGCGCAGGTAGAACCAGGCCCCTTTGAGCCCAACTTCTGATTGGTAGGGAATCCGAAATGGATTGAGTAGGGCTGGAAGCAATGTTTTCTTGAAGAAATAGAAAACGCAGAACATGAGAGAAGTGTTAGGAGAAGCACGACGAGTAGCGGAGTGCTTCTGGACACTTCTCGAGTGTTCTGCCAATTCCCAAGTGCTTTATAACGGCACAGAGCACAGCAAGCAAGTTTTTTATTTCTTTTATAAAATACAAATTACAATAACCATATTTTAGATAGGAATGACGCAACGGAAAGTGCGCGCGCGTGCTGTGTGCTCTCATAAAGCAAGCGCTCCCAACCAATCAGAACGCGATATTCACAACAGTTATTTTATAATACTTCATAACATGTGCCATTCCCTTGAGTATTATTCCTTTGCTTACAAAATATATGAATCATGGATGTTAAAGAAAATGACACTTGGTCTGAAGGTTAAGGAACATTACAATCAAATTTATTTATTGCACACAAAGCTCAACTCACGTGTTGATTTTTACGGAGGGAGTAAACCGGAGAACCCGCAGAAAAGCCCTCGTGGCGTAGGAGAGAACAACACATCAAACGAACTCAATTCACATATGGCGACCGCAGGGTTCGAACCAGCGACCCGACCCGTTGGACTCACAGCGGCGAAAGACAAGGCGTTAGCCAAGAACGCCACCCATACTACCCAAACTGGATAGGTGGGATTGAATATGCGCATTTCAGCATCTTCTAATGGAACGATAAAAATATTAAATGATTATTATCAACTTGAATTAGAATTATGAGGTCTGTTCGCTATGAATGAATATTACTAAAATTAGGATGGTTTGTTTCAGGAATATTGCAGCCATACTAGACGTAAGACTGAGTATATAGCAAGTCTGAGTGAGATCCATTCGCCTCCTAAATTCAGGTAACCAGTTATCCCTTATTTACCGCAGTCCTTAAAAACAACCTCTGGAATGATCTAAGTCAGGGCACGACTTACCCACAGATGGAATTTGAATTTAGCGTGTTGGGAAAACCGGAGAACACGACAAACTCAACTCGCATATAATGCTGAAATCAAACAAATAAATAGACATCAGTTTTTTGTATGTGTCTGTCCTCTTATTGACGATAAATTGCGTTCACACGCAATGTGAATCCACACTACTTTGACAATGTGATGACGCAATTTATCGTCAATAAGAGGACAGACACATACAAAAAACTGATGTCTATTTGTTAAATCGAACCGGAGAATCTGGTCTCATAGAGGCGAGTGATCGTGAACTATTGTAAAACTACCTTCCATCCCTTGCTCAATTCATTAGAAGATTATATTCAGAGTTACTCTATCTTTGCGTCTGTTTTTTCCGTTAGAGTGATAGGAACATTATCGAACATCAAAGAATTCTCCGACGCATTTAAATGTCCTACCGGAAGCACCATGAATCCGAAGAAAAAATGCGAAGTGTGGTAACAGTGCGGGCAGATTCTACCTATAGATTATGGCAGTTCTTTGCAGTTTTGTTCACCACCAAATAAACCTCTTACTTTGGGGATAATCTTTTCCCATTCCAGAACACGTGTCATTTTCTAGAGTATCATTTCTTTGTTTAATAATAGACCTTTTTCGAGTTCCAAATTACCGCTGTGTTCCTTGATTACAGACTCATTTACTCAGGGTTAGCCTCGAATCGGTGTCTAAATATTCACAAAATACCAAAGGTTATGGAACGAATGCACAACTTCAACAATACAAACACTTTGAAATTTCACGGACCATCACTGGGACACATCAGTGAATATTCTGCACAAAGTAAAGGCTAAACCTGAGCAACAGAAAACTCGAAACTGGAGTAATAAGAATGAGAAGACACATAAATATGGATACAACTCAAACAAAGAATCTTATTCTCAAGAGAATGACACGTTGTCTGAAATAAAAAACATTGCGCCCAAGGTAAAGAGGGCTATATAACCGAGAGTTTCCATCTTTGGGAACAAATACAGCTACCAAGCAATCGTCTGTTATTTAGTTTGTCAAGAGTTCTTCTGAAAAATTGCAAGTTTTAACACAACGTTTATGGAATTTAGTCACGTTTTGATGCAATGCAGGACATTGCTATTCTGGCGAAAAATATTTGAAAATTGCCGTAATATCAAAAATTATTTTTTATTAAAAAAGTATTGACAAAAATATTGGTCGGGTGCGCTACCAAAAATGCTTTATAACTAAGAAATATTCTTGGTTTGCAAAAAAATGAAATAACGAAAAACATAGCCGCCATGTTGGTTCGTTGTGTTCAGCCAACATGGCGGCTATGACATCATATATGTAATTTTTAACATTTGTGGGGCTAATGCAGGGAGATTTCTTTTTTTTGTTTTGTTTATAGAGTGCACGCACTAAAACCGTGAACATTAAATAGTACTAATTAGTACTATTTCATACAGAATCCTTCGTTTTCTATTGTTTAATTGTCACTATTTAGTACTAAAAATTAGTATTTGTTTCACGGATTTAGTGTGAGCACTCTAGTGATTATGAGATTGAATTATTTAGTAATATCTTATATTGAAATTGAATATCATTTTTCTAAGAGTTGATTTAATATAAATATACATAGGTTGTAATTTGAATTTAGAATACAAATGATGCTTTAAGTCGTCTGTAAAATTTCGATTTCTAATAATAATTTCTAATAATTATTAATAATGAATTTGAAGGGATACAGAAATGTCAAGCTCTGTGCCCAAATACAGAGATTGGGATTCCTGTGTAGGAGGTTACTTAGTATACGACGTAAAATAGCACAGTATCATGTGACTCTCACCGAGAGTTCAGAATGTTACTGGTTAAAATCTAATCACGTGAATGAGTTATGACGTATGAGAATCTAGCACGTGGGTAAATCACATGGTTTATGACGTGACCTTACTTTAGCTTAGTCATCCATTGTTTCGTCGTCACTCATTTCCCAAACCTTCAAGGAAAAAAGTCGGTAAAGAAATAGTGAGAAATAAAATCTAAACAAATTCCCCTGAAATATTATTGATAAAGAAAGTATTTTGTTTTGTTTCTGAGTATTTCAATTCGCGGGGTTTGATACTACACATAGATGCTTTGCACCACCACGTGACGGCAGCCATGTTAGATGGCAGGAACATTAAATCGTTTTACATGTGATAGAATTCAATTTCCGAGAGCAAATGGATGTTATTGCCATCTAACCACAGGCAGTCCAAGCTGAATTATGGTGCCAGCACGTGATGGTACAAAGCCTCTGCAGAGCGTTTTCACTCACGTGACAAGGCAGCCATATTGGTGTACCAAACAAAAGAAACTTTCTGCACAGTATTTGCATAAAAATAGAGTTCAATTCCCGGGGGATAGAAAATGTATTGTTTTGGTACACCAACATGGCCGCTGTGAYGTCGCGTGAAAACGCTCTATAGCTTCTCTCTACGCATCTGCGCATCTTGTCAAGGGGAGGTCACTTTCCAACACTCAACAAGAGAAATGTTTAGACCTGGCCACACGTAGACGTTTTCATTCGTAAACGCATACTTTAGTAAACGAATTCTGTCCGTCCACACGTAAACGGTCATCGTTTACGAATCGTTTTCAGCCGTCCACACGTATCCGGCATTTTGAAGAGCGTTTTCAAAAGTATGCGTTYATGTTGAGGCTTTCATTGTTTGCATGTGGACGACAGGGCTAAACGTATCAAAAAATATGCGTTTACGAATGTAAACGTATGCGTGTGGGCGGGGTCTTAGTTACCTCATCGACTCGTGTATCCTGCATGAGCTTCGTCAAACCCGTTAGATCTTCTAAGTATTTGGGTACGTTGAAGGCTTGAAGAAGAAAGGAGAATCCCTCATTCATGTAGGATGTGACGACCTGTTGGAGTAAAACGAGAATGGCTTCAATCTCTAGCTACTAGCTTTTAGTGGTTTGAAACTTTACAGAGACTTCAACAGGTAAGACAAAGTCGTTGTGGTGGCATCAGCGGAAAGAGTCGTTGCTCTGGCAACGCCTTTCACCTCCCTGCTTGATGGTAACACTGATGACCACTTAGAGCAGGTGGCATTACGATAAATTTTACTACATTTTTGTTGTACTGTGTATATTGAATATTCCTATTGGTGGTTGCTGTGATCGAAATGATTTGGCAGAGGGGTCTGAAAGCGAAACGAAAGCTCAGTCTCCCGCTCCCAACAGCACACCTTCCACAGGAAGCCCAGAGAAGGATGAATATAACCAACCTCGTCTGAGCAGGCGATACATTTATCGAAGGCCAAGCTTGCTGGTAGAACAGTATTGTAACGAGAAAGAAATCCACGTATCTGAAGGAAACAGAAAACAGTTTACAATGTAAGTAAGTAAGTAGTGCAGTTTTCGTATGACAGTGAAAAATGTACGGCACCCACACGGTCGTGACACAGCAAGGGATACGCCAGACAAATCACATTGCACGAGAATTTACTCTCCATCCAATCAAATACCCGGAACACGGCATAAACACGGCGCGGACACGGTCACGCCAAGGTCACGGCAATGCCAGACCAATCATATTGCGCGTGAAAAAAAATCAACCAATTAAAATTCTAGAAAGTATCACGGTCACGGCACCTCACGCTTACGGCACTGAGCTTTTCACAGTCATACGAAAACTGCACTAAGTAAGTAAGTAAGTTTCTTTATATTTAAAGAGGGTAGCACAACTGATGACCCAGTGGCCCTCAATGTGAATGATACATGCCTGATGATATATGTCAGTCAACAGCTAGGTTGAAGGAGAATAGCCTGAGTAGCCAGGCTCTATGACCGTGGGGGCCTGAGGGAAAAGAAAGGTAGGTTGTGGTGGGGGTAGGAAGGGGGTGTTTTTACCTGGTGAGGTACAAGACCAAGTGATGATTCCATCTCAGCTGTAAGGTGACTGTCTTTAGCACTAGTATTGGCCATAGCACAAGCCCTAATAGAAAAGATATGTAAGATATGAATTAAATTGTTACACCAAACAAAGCTATTAAAACATCGTCATCTGCTATCATTATCAATATCATTATAGCATCGCATATCATCATTATGTATTCTCATCATGTATCATCATCATGTATCATCA